AGGCCTCCAGCTTTATCAAGAACAAGCTGGCAGCGGCTAAGAGTTACGGGAAGGAGACGCAGAAGATCTTCACGGACGAGATGGAGGTCCTCCAGAAGCGCCTCGAGGAGACAGTGAAGAAGATCGACGCCTTCAAGAAAGAGACGCTCGAGAGAAAGATGGCCGCCTTCATGTCGGAGGTTTTCAGGGAGTGCTTGGCTCCGCATTGCATGCCGCCCCCCTTCCGCTCGCCTTTCCGACCAACCCCTCCTCCTCGCCCACCAGATCGTCGCCATCGTTGCCGCGATCACCGCTATCCTCCTCCTCGTTCCTCCTCCTTCCTCCTCCTCCTGCTCCTCCTCCTCCTCCTGCTCCTCTTACTCCTTCTCCTCATTCCTCCTCCCCCTCCTCCTCCTGCTCCTCTTACTCCTCCTTCCTCCTCCTCCTGCTCCTCCTCCTCCTCCTTCCTCCTCCTCCTCCTCCTTCGTTCTCCTCCTCCTCGGCCCGTTTCTCCTCCGCGTGCTCTAACTGCTGGCTCTCGCCCGCGGGGGCGCCACGACAAATCGCGCCCTGCGCGCTGCGGCCTGGGCCGGAGCGGCCTGCCCTCCTCCAATGGGGGGGGGGGCGCGAGCGCGCCACACCGCGAAGATAGGGGGCCACATGCGAACCCTACCCCTACCCCCCTCAGAAGTCGCGGGGGGTAGGGGTAGGGTTCGCATGTGGCCCCCTAGGAATCCCTAGAACAGGAGCGCGCGCCTCGCATGGCGGTGCGCCCTGCGTGCTGTTCTGTACGCCAGGTGATGCTAAGGCTGACGCCGCGCCGCCGACCCCCTGGGGGCTCCTTGGGATGCGTGGAACCTTTCTGGGGGAGGCGGAGCGAAAGCGCACGAGCTCGACCCGACTCGGGCTCGAGGAGAGACCAGGGGGCGCTTCTGGAGCAGCTTCTGCAGCAGATGGCCGCCCGGAGGGGGGTTCCAGCGGAACCTGGCGGGCCTCCCCCCCTCTACATCTGCCGGATCGGGCTCCCGCGGAGAGGTTTTGTCGGGCGGGGCCAGGACGAGGATAGACCCGTTCCCGAGCGTTCCGGAACGCTCTCAGAGTTTTCCGGAACGCTCTGAGAAGGCCGCGGCGCCTGAGACATCTTCCAGAGCAGTCGGATCTCAGAGATTCTCGATTTATCCTCGTCCTGGCTTCGTCTCAGATGTTTTGCGGAGGGGCAGCGATCTCACACGCCGAGGGGGCGCTCAAAGGGGTCCGCGAGAATTCTCGTCTTCCCCCCCCCCGTCCGCTGGCCGCATCTGGCCGCCTGGCCGCAGCTTGGGGTCGGGGTGGGGGGACCGTCAGTTCGGGGGAGGAGGGGAAGGAGGAGGGGAAGGAGGAGGGGGAGGAGGAGGAGGGGGAGGAGGAGGAGGAGGAGGAGGAGGAGGGAGGAGGAGGAGGAGGAGGAGGAGGAGGAGGAGGAGGAGGAGGAGGAGGAGGAGGAGGAGGAGGAGGAGGAGGCGGAGGAGGAGGAGGAGGAGGAGGAGGAGGGAGGAGGTGCAACCTCCCCGAGCGAGTCGGGGGTTGCTAAAGGTGCCCCTGGCCCAAAGTGCCCCCAGCTTTTCGCGCAGTTTTGGAGCCCCTGGGGCCCTCTAGGCCTCGTGAGGGGTGCTCCTTGGAGGCCGTATGGGGACTCCGCGGAAGCCCTGGGACACCCTGGGCCAGGGGCACTTCTAGCAGCACCCGCCCTGAGGTGATGGAGAGCGTCACGGCCGCGGAGGACAAGGTCAAGGTGCTGACGGAGGCGGCGGAGGTGCTCGCCAAGGACGACCTGGACAGCGTCTCCGTCGAGGCCCTGAAGGAGGCGCTGGAGAAGACCAAGGCGGCGGAGAAGGAGGCCCAGGTCGCCTGCGCGGAGGCCAGGAAGACGCTTGGGGCGAAGCAGGCCCAGGCCAAGGCCAAGGGGGACATGCAGGCCGCAGTCCAGAAGGCTCTGGGGCGGACAGACAATAATACTTAGCACCCCGCAATTGCGGATAAGAGTGAGGGGGCGGGCGCGGGCGACGCGGGCGTTGAGCCGGGTGGGTCTCGGAGTGGGTCGCCGGTGGGTCGCAGGCGGGTCGCCGATGCAAAAGAAACCCGCCGCAGGCGCCGACGTTTTGGCTTGTTCAGTGAACGTAGTTTGGGTCGCGGGTGGGTCGCGGGCTCTCCACCTCCACCTGGAAGGAATTCAAAAACAGTCCGCCGCAGGCGCCGAGCATTTTGACTTGTACACTGAACGCGGTCTGGGTCGCGGGTGGGTCGCAGGTTCTCCACCTGGAACGAATGCAACAGGCGCCGAAAATTTTGGATGGCTCGCGGGATGGGTCGCGGGTAGGTCGCGGGTGGGTCACGGTGGGTCGCGGGTGGGTCGCGGGTGGATCGCGGGTGGGTCGCGGGGTGGGTCGCGGGTGGGTCTCGGGGTGGGTCGCCGGTGGGTCGCAGGTGGGTCGCCGATGCAAGAGAAACCCGCCGCAGGCGCCGAAGTATCGGCTTATTCAGTGAACGTAGTTTGGGTCGCGGGTGGGTCGCGGGCTCTCCACCTCCACCTGGAAGGAATTCAAAAACAGCCCGCCGCAGGCGCCGAACATTTTGTTTTGTACACTGAACGCGGTTTGAGTCGCGGGTGGGTCGCAGGTTCTCCACTTGGAACGAATGCAAGAAAAAAACCGCCGCAGGCGCCGAATATTTTGGGTGGGTCGCGGGTGGGTCGTGGGTGGGTCGCGGATGGGTCGCGGGGTGGGTCGCGGGGTGGGTCGCGGGGTGGGTCGCGGGTGGGGCGCGGGTGGGTCGCGGGGTGGGTCGCGGGTGGGTCGCGGGGCGGGTCGCGGGTGGGACGACGACAACAACAAACAACAAATAACGAACAACAAACAACCAACAACGACAGCACCAACAACACCAGCAACAACACCAACAACCACAAGAATCCGCATCGCGGAATTCCATTTCAACCACGCACCCAGGGACAGTGAATGACCGTTCGGTTCAGCCCCCTCATTCTGACAAGCTAATAGTTTTCTGGAAAAAAAAAAGAGAAAGGCAACAGAGAAGAAGGCTCTGGGGCGGACAAACAACAATACAAGCTACTAGTTTCTCAGCAAGAAGAGGAAACAACGAACAGGGAAAAAGGCTCTGGGGCGAGCGGGGGGCAACACACATGCAGCGTTGCGCTCCTGCGCCTTTTTCGCGAGGCACGGGGAGGGGGGGGGGCAGGGGGGCAAGGCAGATGAGGAGGAGAAGGGGAGGCGCAGGAGGGGGAGCAGGAGGATGTGGGGGGGGGGAGGAGGGGGAGGAGGAGGAGGAGGAGGAGGAGGAGGAGGTCCGTAGCCATTTTGGCTCAAGCCGTTGGCCGAAGCCACCCTCTTGTCGGTCGCTGGAGGGTGTACTCGGTTAGGGCCCTAGCTGCCCGCAGGAGGGCGTCCCCGCTTCGGTCGGAAACCGAGAGCTCTTTCGTTTCATTTTCACGCACCGCCAGCCTCGCTGGCCCAACGATGAGCGCTGCGGCTCCTGACTCTCTGTCGGATGGACTCGCACAGGACTGGGAGATGGCGCCCACCTTCCCCACTCAGGAAGCTGCTGCTGTCGCCGCTGCTGAAGATGTGGCCAAGCGACAACGCGTGGCCGCCCACGTCCCCCGACGAGGCCAACAACATCAAGGAGTACGTCGGCCTCACCAAGAAGAACGTGCTGGCTGCGCTGGCCCGCGTCCAGTCCTCTATGGCCACGTTCTCGAACACGTTCACGACGAGCTGGGACGACATCGAGAAACGGCTCGAGGTCATAATCAACAGCGTCGAGACCCGCCAGTCCACCCAGGAGGCCCGCCTCGACGTCTTCGAAGGCCAGATCCGCTCGCTGCAGGGGGCGCTCGGTGACATCACGTCTGCGCGCCCCATTCCTCCTGCTGCTGCTCCAGGTTTCAATCGGAACACCGACCCGACCATACTGCTTGTCCGCACCAAGCTGTCCTGTGCCAAGGCCCGTGTCCTTGCTGCGCTGCCCGACTGGTTTGGACGCGCCCAGCTCAACGGTAGCGACTATACCGTGGAGGGCGAGCCCGTCGCCAACAGGTACGTGCTGCGCATCCATGGATTGGCCCCATACGCCTCACGAAAGGTCAAACAGGCCCTCGGAGCCTTACGCCGCCACGATCAGACATGGGAGAGGTTCCAGTGTCAGGCCCCCGACCACAGCACGCAGGATATCTACATCTCAGGAGGCAAGAACGTGGCCCAGCTCAAGCGTGAGCTCGGACTCAAACGTGTTCGTCGTAAGCTCGAACTACGATACAATCGCCTCCGCTTCTACAGCGACAAGGACAAGGGCGAGATCTCGTGCCAGTGGGAGCCCCTTGTCCACGTTGAGCCACAGGCGGGGGAGGCCCCGACCAAGCTCCCTTTCTGCCTCGCAAGCCTCACCGCCCTCGGGATTGACAAGGCAGCCATCCTCGACGGTGTCATGGCTGGCTACAAGTCGGCCAGTGAGACTACGTGGAGTGTTTAGCCCGCTGCTCGCGCAGTGGACGGACCAGCAGGGCGCCCCCTCGCCCCCCTCGCTGGTCTCCTGGAATGCGCGGGCGCTGTTTCATTTCAAGGCTGGCATCCGCTCCAAGAAGCTCGCGCTCGTCCGCTCCCCGTGGCGCGCTGGATAGATCATTTCGCTCCAGGGGGCACGCGGCACGATGGCTGAGCTGCGGGACTTCGCCTACTTCTCTAACTCGGCCTTCTCTTTCGCCTACCCCCCTGTGGCCTCGTTTAATGACCCCCGCAAGGCGTTCATCCCCAAGGGCTCTGAGGCCTCCGACGAGATCGAGATTCACCGGGGCCCAAGTCAAGCACGCCCCCTAGGGCTCACAAATGCCTCTAACAAAATCATCACAGGAATCGCGCGCCGTGGGCTATGCAAATCCTTGGACTCGTTCATCATCCCGATTCAGCGTGGGTTCGTCGGCGGGAGGAACTTCGGGACAAACGTATTCGAGCTAGATACATACTCCACGGCATGCGGCATGCATGTCTCCGATCCCAATGTAGCCATCTCGCGCGAGCCAGTTCTTGTCAGTTTCGATTGCGGCCAGGCCTTCCCCTCTATCGCCCATCAATGGTTGCTGATGTGCCTTCGTCGGTTGCGCGCCCCTCCGCCGCTGCTCTTCTTCCTCGAGTGTCTGCGTCGATCGGCGCGCTGCTTTGCGCGCAGACACGTGCTCCGCTTCGCTTTCATGGTCGAGAGCGGCATTATTCAGGGTTGCCCTGCATCTGGGATGATAGATGCCATCGCTTCGAACCCGTTCCTCTCGGACATCGACGCCTCTCTGCGCCCGGCAGCCTGAGAAAGAAATCGCGCGTGCCTGCGCTGATGACGCGGGGGCCGCTCTTCGACGGCTGGCCGACCTACGAGCATTGAAACGCCCCTTCGCGCTGAGCAAGCGCATAGCCGGTTTAATCCAAAAGCCGACGACATGTTTCATCACCCCCCTCGGAGGAGAGTTCCCCAGAGAACTCGCGGAGGCCGTGAAACAATGGCTGCGCGAGCAGCTGCCCGAGTGGGCCGCTTTTCAGGTTGCGCCGTTCTTGACGCACCTCGGTTTGATCCTCGGTCCAGGGACCCAGAATGAAAGCTGGATCGGCCCCATTCGGAAATGGTTCTCGAGAGGCTGCGCGGCTGCTCGCGCTAAGCCTCCGACTGCGGTCACGCAATGCCTCTAACGCGCGCTGTCCCAACCCTAGGATGCGTGGCCCAATTCCCCCCCCCTCCCCTCGTCGGACCTCGTTCGGTTTACTCGGTCGGAGCATGCCCTCTTCGCCTCCCTCTTCCGCGTTCCTCACTGCGCTCTCCCGAGAGCGGGTTGGTTCGCCCTTTCGTCCTGGGGCGGCCCTGCAGTCGACAGTATCCTAGTGTTCTCTCTGTCCTCTTTAATGCGCACCGCCCTGGTAGCCCTACCCGGCCGGGAACCACTCCTGCAGTTTCTCATGGAGATTGCCGTCGACCACCTATCTCTACATGAGATTGGTGAAGGAAAGCTCAGCCCGTCCTGGTGGAAATCCCCGCCTCTGGTGCAAAACCTGTCTCTGGCCGCCGCCGACTTTGAAAGTCACAAGTCGCGGGCTGAAGCAGGGCCTGTTGCGCTCCAGTCTGCCCGCGAGTGTCTCAACGCCCCTGTTCCCGCGAATTCAGAGGCGAAGTTGCCCGAGCCTAAGGTCCAAAGAGTCATATCTGCTTCCCTGCGGAGCGTTCTCTTTCCGGATCCCCTCCCCCCGATGTTCCCCCCTCGTCTCCTGGGCTGATTCCCTGGTCGGCGGGAAGAGGTCCAAGCCATCAAGTAGCCCCGGGTGGAGGCTTGCTTGGCCGCGCTCCCGATAGGATTCAGTTCTGCGGCGCTCAAGACAATCGCGGGTGCGCGGTTAACATCTGCTCGAATGCACGATGGCACCCAGAAAGGGTGCATGATGGGCTGCGGCGGCCCAGACACCTTCCTGCACTACTGGGCTTCCTGCCCCGTTTTACTGTGCAGTCTCGCTCTCATCATCCAACCACTGCCGTTTCTCGACTCTCCCATCGCCCGTCTTGGCCTGCTCTCCCCCTGTCGTGCCGACCTCGAACCTGCCGCCGCTGGTCTTCTTTTTTTCAACGTTGCTTCCGCTTCTCGCGCCGCCCTCTCAGATCCATCGCCGCCCCTCGCTGGCTGCCAAATCTTTGAACTCCAGCCAGCAGTGCGGTCTGCACTGGCGAGGCTCCGCGTAGCAAGCGCGGGCGTGGGCCAACGGATCGCGGCGCGCTTCGGCGACGCGCCAGGAGGGGGGGAGAGGAGGAGGAGGAGGAGGAGGAGGAGGAGGAGGAGGAGGAGGAGGAGGAGGAGGAGGAGGAAGGAGAGGACGACGAGGAGGAGAAGGAGGAGGAGGAGGAGGAGGAATTGGAGAAGGAGGAGGAGGGGGAGGAGGAGGAGGGGGAG